TGCTAGCATTGTTTAAGTATACAGCCTATACATCCTTAAATTAAACGTATCGCGAAACATATCATTAGGTATCGATCCGTTTGACACGAGAAACTGTGTCCACGTGACAGACGAGGTATCGTCGTTACCGTGAAATCGACGCGAGAATCCGATAATTGTTAGCTGGCCGGTGATAGAATTCTCGCGAGGACGATCGATCGCGATCGAAAAAAGGGATGCGAGAACAAATCGGAGCAGCAGCGATAGCCGTGGTACCGCTATTTCCCGCGCGCCCGATCGAGAATACCAGAAAACTGCATCGAGCATGAAATCATTCTCGTTCTACGGAACAGCCGGATGGTTGCATCCTTTGCAGATCCTCCGACGATCCTGTTCGTTCGCACATGTACGACCCGTTGTCCCTGCATCCTCGAGGTTCGCCCCCGTCTCACCTCCGATCGAGAGATCCATCCGGCCGTATCTCCGCCTAGGATCTACTCGTCGTACACGTGTACGGTAGATCGTACGTCACCGGTCTAATTAAGCCCTCTCGCTACCCTCGACTCATCGGGACTCTTCTTTCGAGAGGAGATTTGAATGGAATTGAGATCTCCGAGATCGAGAACAGGCAAGGTCAAGAACGGTCACGTTCGTTAGATCTTTGCATGTCGCATTCTTTGTACGCACGTCCAATTTCTCTACGGACGTTCTGGCCGTGAACGAATTCAGTAATGGTCTCTCTGTTCATGTAAGACGCAAAGCGTGCTACTTCGTTCCTCCTCTTTCTTTTAAATTTCAAATCCCTCGTTGCGGAGTGTTTCAATGGTAAGTGCAGAGAGGTCTGCGAAGCCGATGTACATTCGCCATCTGCCGTTCTATCCTGAAACAGGTTTTGCTCTTCTGCAACCAAGGATCTGATTTATCAGCCACAGAGAGTTACGTTAACGCGAACGCTGAGCATTCAAACCGTTCCTTCGGTCCGGAACATCCTCGTCCCTTTTTATCTCGATAAACACGTATCGACATTCCCCCAGTTCACAGAATTTATTTGTCGACTTCGTCTTTACAAAGAAATAGAACTTTTATCCCGAAGGGAAGTTCTGATAACAATGATTGCCAATTTAATTATTAATCGCCGCTGGTTCGTCGATCGGATCGTTACAGTGACAAGAATAATGGGAGTAATGATAATAAAATTTATTTATCTCACTGTGTTTGAGAATGAATTATGTACAAGAGCGATATACATGGGTACGCAGTAATATAACGTAAAGTACAATTGTCGGATAATATCGTTATCAGGGACACGTCCGTGAACGAAAACGTCGCGATCGGCGCGCTTCAACTCATGATCGTCATACGTTCTCGTATAAACGACACATATTTCCTATCCGAACGGCAAGATTCGCGTCCAAATGCTTTCCTCTCTAATTCTAAAGGTTCGCCTGAAAATATTTCCGAACAGTTTCGAGTATCCCCGAGACTGACTGTACACAGCGTCGTGCGTCGCTCAGCCGTTCTCGCGCGTTCAAACGGTGTAGACGGTCTCGGAATGATGCGACTGGGAGGGTACGCAATATCCGCTGTAAGTTTTGATCTCCAGCACGCCGGAATAGGATCTCGCCGGCAGGGAACCCGGATCGGTGTGCCTTCTGGGGCACCGGTGGCCCTTCGGGCACTGGCAGAGAGGCGAAGCGTTTACCTCTTCCAGTTGGGAACTCCGCCGTTTTCGCACGGTGAACAGTCGGCAGGGCTCCTTGTGCTGACAGCGTAGCCTCTGCAATTCAATCGATCGGATCGGATCATTGGGTCGTGTTGACAAAGGGACGAGAATTCTAGGATAAAGATTTATTCGGTCGCCGTTAATGGTCAATGGGCGAAAACTTACGCTCTGCGGAGAACACGCGAACGCATAAATAAAGCCAGGACTTCCTTCGGACGACCTGTAAGCTTGCCTCCGAACTAGATAAGGTACGCTACCCGGTCGGCATCGGCAGTAAACCCGTTGGACCGTCGCGTTCGCCGGGCCTCCTCCAGGAGCCAGGGTCCACGTGACGTCTCTGTAAACAGTAAATGGCCAATTTTTACCACTCGGGACAACGACTCCTGTTGTGATCCTCTCTCGACTGTATGCACGATCGGTACTCACTTGAAATAACGACAGATCGGAAGACGTTTCACTGGCTCGCAAAGCTTGTACTGGCGCGTTTTGTCGACTATCGTGTGTCCGTCGTCCCCGTGTAAACTGCTGGGACAGGTACGGCCATCCGGACAGCGACACTGTCTCTCGACCCAAGGCGATCCGTACAAATCCACCTTGCTGCAAACCTCGCTCCGGTCCGAACATTCGGGCAGCTCGTCCTCGCTGTCCTGAAACATTTTTACGTGAACATACGTATCGTGACACGCTCGCAGTTTAGATTCCTCGTGTCGATCGTCGTTCCGTAGCGACTTTCTTCAAATTACGACGTAGTAGGGCGAGAACTGACAGATCCGTTATGCCTTTGGAGAGAACTGAGAAAAGCGACGACACGATCGACAGCGGATCGCGGCCTCCGCGTACCGTTCCTCGGCTTGACCTCGCTCCGCGAGGAAGCGCGGATAAAGGGTCACGGAAAATCTGCTCGGCGCGCAATAAAAACGTGACTTCTCTCGTCGACGATCGAAACTCGACTCGTCGTAGAAAACTCGCAAGATCGTTTACTAAATGAGAAGAGATCGACGGAGAGAGAACGAGCAGAGGAAGTTTTATGTAACATGCTCGAGAGGTATGTGTCCCCCCTCTCCGTCGGAGAATAGACATCTGGTCTAACTATACTATTCAAACAGCGTCGGTCAATCCGCTGAATGAGGCAATCACGTACGTCCTGTCGACTCGTCGTTAGCAATCTACGTATTGTTCAAGCACCTAAGTTCAATTTCTCAAATTCCCTCTGTACTTCTGCTCGTCTGCACGCCTACCGATTCTTCCGATCGAATTAAGACGACGAATAACCAGCGGAATCTAGATTTTAATTGCCGAGTAGATAAACGATGAAAGAGCTCGATCAAGTGAGATTAATGCAGTCCCTTGTGCGACTTTCAGTCGCACGAGAAGTAACGAAGTTTCAGCTAGATAAGAGTTTAGTCGACCTCGATGACGTCTGTAACTATGCTGAACGAGCCTCTCTGTCCATCGATCTATCGACGATTGACACGAGTGATACGCTCGTTGCGCGGGAACAGAATCCAGCGAGCGAGAATTTCCAATCGGTTACGCGGGACGTTCTCCTATGATCGCGTTTCTGGCGAGTACATCTGCGGCCATCGTCGTTGTTCACGTGGTTGCGCGCAAAGAGTGCATCGGTACCGGGGGGTAATTTTCACGCGAATTCGAAGACAGAGTTGGCGCCTAAGCGCTCGCAGGGTGTTCGGAAGAAGAGATACGCGGGGTTGCTCGGGCGGTTACTTGGAGTCCACTGGCGATAGAATCACCCTGTATATCGGGCAAACCGAGATCCCTGTTAAAACGATCGACCACTTTTCCCACTCTCCGTACACGTTCTCGTTGCTGGTTCCCTTCCGTTCTCGGGTATTCCCTTCTCTTTCTTCGGTCCCCACCTTGTACCTCTTCCTCCGAGAGCGTTCCCAGAAGATCGTACGTATTACTAAAACCTTCGGTGGCAGCAAACTAAAATGGGATAATAGGGGGACCGGAAAGGCTCCGCGATCCATCCGGAAGTTCTCACGCGTCTCTCGCTTCTCTCATAGCCGCAGTGAAAATGACACCTGGTTCTCGGCCTGCATACGTATATACAAGTGTTCCCCTGTACACGTGCATACCTCTCTCCCTCTCTCACTCTCTCTCTCTCTCTCTCTCTCTACGAGCGTACGTGCATACATCGCGACAGATGATCCTGAGAATACACACGCTCGCGGATCAATTGAAGATGCGTGTTTGCATACTGGACGTAGGAGGACACTGTTCTTCCGTCGTTTACGCTCACGTATCGAGTCGCATCTTATCTCTTATTGAACGAACGCAGATACTCGTATTTCAGTTTCTGCGTTACGTAAAACGTTATAACATTCACGCACGTGAACCGTGTACGTCGTGCGAAGCCCGTCGAGATCGGTACGCGATTATCGCGGTGCACGTTAAAAATTAAGTAGCGAACGACGTGGGTGCGAAAGACGAATCGTAGTAGCTAATAAATTATGTAGGATTTACCCCGATCTGATAGAGGACTTTCGGCTGCTGGTGCGTCGGGCGATGTTTCCTCTTCTGGTCGATCAAGTCGAGCTCGATCGCCGTGTCCTCGAACTCCTGCAACTCCGACAGGTACTTGCCGTCGTCGAGGGACAGATACTCGTTGAGAAACTTTTGACCGGTCTCGTCTAGCTCCACGCCGAGGAGGCTACCCTTGCTCTCGCGGACGAGCAACTGCCCGAACATCGCTAATAAGAAACAGATCAAATCGGCCATCCTTTCGCGCGCGCACGCGATCCTTCGTGTCCTTTTCGTGTACTCCGCCCCTTTCGCTGTTCTTCTCCTGTTCCTTCCTCGTCCGTTATAAATAATAAGATCGCCTGTTCCTCCGTTATTGTTCACGATCGGTGATCGCGACGATCACCGATCATCGGATGAATACCCAGATCGATTGTCGGACGTTGAATCGGAGTTTCGACGTTCGAGCAACGATGCGACACATTCGGAAACGAGAAATGGTACACGCGCGTCACGTAAGGATTATTCGCCGCGGGCAACGATTTCCTCACGGTTCATCAGTTACGTTCGCTGCATAATTTACGCTTATGCGATCGTTGTTCGGAGCGTTCCTCTATCAATCCACGGAATAGTACCCCTGTTCTGTTGCTCGTTCGATGTCACTTGGTAAAGATACCGATACACTTTTCAATCTGTTCGCGGCTCGTTTCGTTAAACGAAACGGCTCGTCGTTTCACGGCTGTCTCTCGTAGCGAACGAGAAAGACACGTTCACCGGCAGTGAACAGCAGCAGCAGCAGCAGCAGCAGCAATATCAGCGTGGCATACGTCGTACGCTCTCCGACGGCTGTGTGGCTCGCACTCTTTTCTCGTGTCCTTGCGCGCTCCGCCTTCTATCATGTGTCCTACGGTCTTACTACGGTTTTGCAACGCGATTCGAACATCGGCAGCGAGGGACCGCGCGAACCTGTACCATTCGTTCGACTGAACTTCTAACAGCTAAAGGCAAAGCATGAATGAGCGGGTCTCCCTTCCTTCTGCTCTTCTTTCTCCACACCGCTGCGGCTCTACTCCACGTCAACTTTCACCCCACTCCGAGATCCTTCTTCCTCACACTCTCAGAACTCGACTTCCACTCCACTCCACTTCATTCCACTCCACTCCACATCATTCCACTTCACTGGCTCTCTCTCCTCTTTACTCGTATACACCTTTCTCCAACGAGATGCGACCATTCGACTCGAGACATACTCGTTACACTTGGACCATTCCTCGCTTCCTCCATCCTCTCTATCTCTCTCTCTCTCTCTCTCTCCTACGACCGTTTATCACGTCGGCCGAAAAGTAACGCAGGACCTTTGTCATATAAACGATACTTTTTCATCGTGTCGAACGACGGTTTGCCGATTTATGAAATGTACGCGTGTACCTCGATTCTTGCCTGCCTCTTTTTCCAAACGTGAATACCGCGTCGCGAACGAAAGGAGAGGCTCGTCAGGTGCACTTCCCTTTTTCACGTATCGCGTCCTTGCATTCCTTTTTCGTTACAGCTCGCGGTCGATCAGTTTTATTCATAACATTTTGTCAGCCGACGCTCGATCGCGTCGCATTATATGCATCTACGATTCGATCCGCTCGGACGTACGCGAAACCGCGTTATTAAACTGTTGGCGTTTCGACGTTCGAAAGCTAACGAGTAACGCAGGGATAAAGAGAAAATGGTCTTGCGGCGTGTGTGGAAATATTCGTGGGGACAGGCGACGTGAAACGCATAATCGGTGCAGCCTACGTAGCAAGTATAATACTTGTACACACGTAAACCGCGTGGGCGGGTCACACGGTTCACGCAGCACTCGAGATCGACGCACGCGACCATTCGAAAGATATTGTTTTTCGAATTCTCGAACTCGCGTGGGTGTCCAACGGCGAGAGGTTTCTACCTACTTTGACCCGTTGGCTCGCGACCAATTTCCACCCGAACGCTCTCCTACGCGAGCCGTCCGTCTCCTCGGTCTTCCCGATTAAAACATTTACGGCGTCAAGCAATTGTCACGCGCGCACCTCCTCACAGATTTCGGTGCGTCCTATACTTATTCCATTTTCTGGTATTTAGCGTTTTATCGTTCCGAGCACCCTTTCTCGACCTCTCGGCGTCACGCGTCCCGCCCGAGACCGAAACAAATCGAATCTTTTGATATTATATTATTCTGAATGCGACGACGCGACAGCAGGCGCAACGAGTCGTAGACGATGATCGAAGGCCGATCGTCAGTTTGAGGATCGCTGTTTCATTGATTGAGGCCGCGATCCATTCACTCCTACTTTCTCTCTCTTCCTCCGCTGCTGTTTACTCTTTTCCCTCGTGCCTCTCTGTCGATCCACGCCGCGTTACTCTTACTCTTCTCCGTGTATGAAAACGAATAGGAACGAAATCCGATCGGATTCGATGCGATCTTACAAGTACCGAGCGAAATCGCGTAGATTCGGTGAAACCAGCGATCGAGCCGACGCGACGATTCTTTACGACGAAGAACACGTAGACGTTAAGCCGGATGTCTATTTTTTATTTTCCATCGAGCGCATCGTTCGATCGTCGACGGAAGCTGGAGGTTTCTCCGTGGTCCGTCCTTCGGTTCGGAGAACCACTGTACCCGGCATGAATGAATTCTTGGTCGGCGAGAGGGGCACGAGACTCGGTTACGATTCGGCGGGGAGTCGTTCGAGAGCGAGGTGGGGTCGACGAGAGTAGAACATCGAGATAGAAAGACGAAGAGGTGGACCGCAGCGTTGGAAGTATTGAGCATGGTCGGAGGAGGCGAACACCTCTCGAGGGGTTCAGGTTGCGGCACGGTGGTAGCAGCAGAGGGGAACGAGAAAGAGACGGAACGGCCAAGGGGCAGCGGTAGGGGAGATAGTTTCGTTTGTGTGCATGCACGTGCACACGGTGGAATCGTTAACGTTACCCGGGAGTGGGTAAAAAAGGGGAGATACGCCAGATTCTTGCATGCACCGGCAAGGCAATGCGAGAAGGATGGAAGAAGGCCGGGCGAATGCAGGTGCCGCAACCTACGACCGGAAACTATGCTCCTTACTCTTGGACCGTGAATGCTGCGCAAGTACGCCTTCACCGTCCTAGCGAAGAATGTCGACCGGTGAACAGGGAAAGAAATCAGAGGATCAGCTTTGAACTAGTTCAATGGCGTCGATCCGAGTTTCAGCGGAGCGATCTCTTCTATTTAGCAAATTTATCCCGTTATCAGTGATCGGCCGTTTTGCCAGGAGAGGAGAGACAGATACTTTCTAATCCTCTCGAACCGAGCACTCTTGCTCCGTTATTAATTGTATAATTACGCCCGAGAACTTCGTCCTCCGCCTTCTGATCTCCTTCGATCTCATTCATCTCGATCTTGTCCCGTTATCGGTTTAATACTTTCAGAACGTATGAACGAGACTTATTTCCGAGACCGTATTTAGAGGAAGGCGTCTGATTTGTTTCAGGAAAATTATACGCGGTGTTTGGGAAGAGGCAAGGCCGGGTGATCGCCGCGGAAAGCGCTCTCGGATTCGGTGGACAGTTTCGCGTCCTCGCGACGTTACCTGTACCGGAGAGTTTTGAACTTGCCAGAGAACTGCGAACTGAGACGTCCGGGCTGGCGAGTCCTCAACTGGTTTTCAGTCATTGGGAGGCAAGTTTTTCCATATAAAGGGAATGCGCGCGTGTGCGCTCTCGCGTTCGCTCGATATATGTATATCGGTATTTTTCCACTTTTCTTGGTCGCGAACCGTTGATCGGATAATACTTACAGCCGCGGCCGAGTCGTTTCCTTTTATCCGTAGGTTGATCCTTGGAACAATTCGAAAAGATCGAGCTTTTATCGGAGACGAATAAATGAACATCGTTGAACAGGGGCGTGGACGCGTCCGACGATAGGTATGAGATGTTTCAACGTTTTATTCGCATTGATAGGTGATCAAGCAAGATCCTTACTGGATGCCTTCCACGGACGAAGAATACCTTCACTTCGGTGACAAAGCGGACAGCGAGAACAGAGCCAAGAAATATATAAATGCAGTACGTCGACGCAAAGGTCTACCCGTGGATTCCCAGCTCGTTACGCACGCGGAAAAACAACGCACTCTTTCCAAGAATAAATAATCAAGGATTGCTAAACGTGGCACGACAGCACAATGTTCATTACGAGTGTACGAGTCATTCGAAGCCATCGGATACGAAACAATTGATAAGACTACCTGATCGATGCTGCACGTCGACCGTCGTAAAGATCTCTTAAAACGATTCATTCTCATCTTCTTCTCTCGTCGTCACTTTCCATCGATATTCAAAAGACGACAGTTCAACGGTTTGACGACAAATTGTACGATTCTCTTCTGTTGACGAAGGTCTTCCATCTAGCTCCGTTGTTATTCATCGTTTCTACGAATTACGGTGATACTATCATTTTACTGTAACTAACTGTCTTTGTACTTTAACTGGAACGCGAAATAAGCGAATCGACTTACGGCAAAGGCGATGTCAGTCGCGAAGGAAGAACGAAATCTTAACAAGCTTTTATCATGGTGCCGTACAAATTGCGCTGGATGCAGACAGACGTGAAATCAATTCTCCGTTTCGACGTGATCATCATCGCGAATCATCTTATCCATTTCTTATACTGGTTTCAGATCGAGATATTTAAATAAAGCAAAAGCGATGCACATCGCATGTTTCCCCCATTGATCACCGTGTCATTCTAATTCTTATTTCGTCGATGTATTACAAAACTTATTTTCGTAGTCGCGTAATTCGCTGATTTTGTTACGACTGGAGGCAAGGTATATACACAAGATTTCTTTGATGAGCCATGATTTATTTTATGTACGAATTTAAATAGAATTCCTACCCCCTGATCATTGATCTTCGTCGAATTTAATCTTCTTCCCTTGAAAGCCCTGCTTCAAAATATCCTGTTGCTTCTTTTTCGCAGCCCAAGAAGGGTGCAGGTTTTCGTTCGTACTCTTACCACTATCCCGTTCCTCGTTCGGTGTAATCTTCCGTTTCCGAGTGCTGTTTGCTTCCTGTGTATTATTCCGACCACGATGAACACCTTTCGATCTCTCGTTGTTCCACCTCACACTATAGCTTTCTTTCCCATCGTAAAATTTCTTCCTTTTACTCATTGGCTTATTGTAACTGACGTCGTGTGTACCGTCCGTATATTTCTTTTCGGGATCCGACCGCGGGACTGTTTTATTACTATTTAAGAAGAAGTCATCTGCTTCCTCTGCCTCGTTAGAAAGCTGATTCACAGATTCGTCGTGTCCATCCTCTTCCTCCGTTGTTCTAAATTTATTCTGTTCCTCCAATGTTTCACGTCCACCTTCATGTTCCTCTGTTTCTTTTAAAATTTCTGTGAATCTCTTAACAGTCGCCTCTCTGCTAACGATTTTAGCAAGAGTTCCAGTATCCGAATTCGTACATTCTGTCCCTGTTTCAGGAACTTTTAATCTCTTCGCCGAGTTTCTTGTATTTTGTTTAGTCTCTCCATCGGCCGTTCCATTGACCTTATTCTTCTTCTGAGAAGATTCTTGCACATCATCATCGTCGTCCGTATCTACGACTCTTCCCACGTCCTTTACGATCTGTTTCTGTACCTTCTCCACAGTGTCGCCTACGCTGGACTGTTTCGAAGACTTCTTCGAGCTATCCGTGGTACCGTTCCTTTTCTTATTCACTGGTCCCTTCTTATCTAAAGTGATGTAGTCTTCGCAATCCGGGAACTTTTCTCGCAACGCAGCTATCCTTGGGTTCAGAGACTTGTAACGAATGATCTTGATCATAGCACGCGTCCCATCGTCACTGAGAGAATTCTGCAGTATCGCTTGCAGATCATTGAAACGAACAATTCCAAACTTGGATATCTCATCGTCTTTGATCTGTTTCAACGCAAACACCTCCCTTAACAGTTTCTCCGCTTTACTCTTGTTCCTCTTCGTTTGTTTCTCGTCACCGTGACTAGCTCGTAACTTTTTTGCTTCCCTGGTCAATTTATTTACCACACGAATGCGAGCCTGGCGAACGAACTGTCTCAGTGAGACGAACTGAAAGACAAACGGGAAACGTTTGAATTTATTCTAAAAATTCACTCGAGTCACGCAGCATTGCGCGCGGGGTTAGGGAAGCACTCACCTCGTTATTTATCTCCGTTTTCCTTGTTTTTATCATTCTTATCGATATCGCAAGGCGAGCAGCGTCGATTCGAACGTCGACACGTTAACGTTTTTAACTCTGCTGACGCGATGCACGTCTATATTACAATATCTGTTTTTACGCAACGCCTACGCCTGTCCGAAAAGTGCGCCGCGCAGTGCCACCCTTTCATACATACATATATACCAACGACCAACCTAATCTGTATACACGTTTTGCGCGAAATGACGTGAAAGCAATTGAAAACACTTTCTACAGAGGACAACAGTAGGTCTCGGAGGAAAGTTGGAAGAGGGCACGTGTAAAACTGGACTAACCCCGCTCTGGTCACGACTGGCCACCATCGATTCGACAGTTAAATCAGGATCGACTTGAAGAAGGTAATTAATGGTGCAATTAATTATTGACACGCATTCAAATATTATTTGTTTTGCTCGTGTGGTGTACACGTATGTATACATGTAATAATAATGTACGATTCACACAACATCAAGCGCCCTCGGGTGATCGTCGTGTGTACAGACGTACTGACTGACGTTTCGTTATTTCGCTAAAACGTCATTGCGTGTAGTGTATGCTTGTGTGGAGAACGTTGATAAACATCGGTTACAAAATCTAACAGTAAATATATGAAAATTGTCCCGTTTAAAGGGCAAAGCGAACGGCTCGACTCGTGATCGCGGCCTCTCAACATTTTATCGTGAAACGCTGAATCATTAACAGCGGAAAGAGTCTCTGTCGCGACGATCGTGATTAAAACTGCAGCATAACTGATCCGCCACGTATGTAGGTTCGTCTGCTGGTGCAGGACAGTATTTCATCGCGTAGATCTCTGATCTCGGTCTACCCTCGTTTCTAGATGTTTCATTGACATGGACGCGTGTTGAACGTCGTCCCTCTTAAGAAACTGAACGTTAAACGCAGCAGATGTAGTATCGGGAAGTTTCGGAGGGAAATCGACGAATGACCTTGAGCCATGCTTCAAGCGATTGTTGCACCTTGTAATGCGATATGTCAGACGGTCGTGTTTTTAGATTGATCTCATCCTCGGATTCGTTCGCGGTAATCGACTGATACGTGGATCATTCGGCTAACCCGACTTCTGACTCGTACCTCGGAGGAAACCGATAAATTATGAATAATTACGAACGGTTCATGTACGTTAACTGTTGATTAGTCAGGTTAGTAGCATCCACTCATACATTCGAACACACGCTTAAGCATTTCACGTTCAACCTGCCCCTTTCGTGTTTATTTTTATATTGATGCTACGTCCAACTTCGTATTTTCCTTTCCGATGCATACATCACTTGTCATTGTCTCTTTCCATCGTTCAAGAGATTGATAGCGTCGCTGATAAGTGGACCGCGATTTTTCATGCAAAACAAGCAAGGAGTCGGTAAAAATCTCCTGTAATCCTTTGAACATCGTGTCACGTCGTTCTCCTGTCGATACTTTTGTTTTTTACATACCCAATTTCGCCACAAGTGCATGAAACCCGCGGTCTAACAATAAGCATTCAAGGTACTGCTGCTGGTATCCTTTCTACACCTTTATTATAATTGTCATCGATCGCTGTAACTAACACTTCTCTCATAAATTGTCTACTCGTTTCTCTGTTCAATCACTATAACTTATTGTCTCGATTTAGGTTCCACCTCGTATGATTTAGTTACTGCGAAATCGTTTTTTCTATTCTTCAAATTGTATTGTGTGATACGCGAACAACGAGAATGAGTTGCGTACGCTGTTGCTTAATCAGCGCTGGTCGCATTGCATCTTGCAATCACGTGGCGAACCATGGTGAGTGAATCTTGTACGGTACTTGACACGACCAGAGACTACAATGATTATCTGTATTCTTAACAGTTCACAAAATAGTGAGGGTGGCAGTGACTAGATCATTTTCGGTCACCTGTGCTTTGGCAAAAGCACCTACCGAGCCCACACCACCTGGTAAAGATACCACTGGCGGTGTTTCTTCCGTGGGTAGCGGCGGTGGAAAGAAAAACACGCTTACTTGTCCGAAATGCGGGGATCCTTGCACACATGTTGAAACATTTGTCTGTAAGTAGATCGAAGCCCGACACGTCCCGAATAACGTTACAGAGGAAGTACAAAGAGAATCATCCAAGATATAAGAGCATCTTTTCTGTTAGCATCAACAAGGTTTGTCAAGTGCGAGAAATGCCATCATTTTTTCGTTGTTCTATCAGAGGTAGATTCGAAGAGAAGCCTGAAAGAAGCTTTGAGAACGGACGATACTAAGCAAGGGTTTTATAGAAAACCGCCGCCACCGCCGAAAAAGGTAACGAATATTTCTAACTCTTTTACAGCGAACAAATGGCTTTGTATATACGTACGATGGAATCACAGACTGTGAATAACGTGTGTCGGTATTTTCAGATTTTTGAGTACCTAAACAAACATGTAATAGGGCAAGAGTACGCTAAAAAAGTATTGAGCGTCGCTGTATATAATCACTACAAACGAATCTATAATAATTTTCCAGTGCAGAACTCGATGCAGGGTTCTATTAATCCGAGCGGTACACAAGATCTGAATCATCCCTTCACTCATAGAGGTCTTAAACCACGTAAATAATAGTTTCCATACTTTGTACAAGATTTTATAGAGAGACGAAAGATCGATAGTATAGAGTCTTATTTATTTATTAAAAATCGTGCGAATCTTTGACGTCCCTGTCAATTTCAATTAACCATGTTCCTTTTCTTTTTTTGCGCGATAGACTTACTGCACATTTCAACGATTGGAAATTCGCTTGGTGTTGGATTTCAGCAATATCCTACGGGAACCGAGCCCAAGTCGACTGACAATCAGTCGCTGTCCGGGTCCGATATACTGGACAGCAAACAGCATCAATTGAAGTTAGAGAAAAGTAATATTCTGTTGCTCGGGCCTACTGGCAGCGGGAAAACGTTGCTCGCGCAAACGATAGCTCAATGCTTGGACGTGCCTTTCGCGATTTGCGACTGTACGACGTTGACGCAGGCCGGATACGTCGGCGAGGATATAGAGAGCGTGATAGCGAAACTGCTCCAAGACGCGAACTACGTGGTGGACAGGGCGCAGATGGGTATCGTGTTTTTGGACGAAGTCGACAAGATCGGCGCCGTGCCTGGTATACATCAGCTAAGGGACGTCGGCGGCGAGGGTGTGCAACAAGGGATGTTGAAGATGCTGGAGGGAACGATCGTGAACGTGCCGGAAAGGAACAGCTCGAGAAAGTTACGCGGCGACACTTTGCAAGTTGACACCACGAACATTTTATTCGTTGCATCGGGCGCGTACAACGGGCTCGATCGGTTGATCTCGCGGCGTAAAACCGAGAAGTACCTCGGATTCGGCGCGACACCCTCCTCCGAGAGTCCGGGCAGGCGAGCCGCGAATTTGGCTGACGTCGCGAACATGTCACCCTCCACGGAGAGGGACAACAAAGAGAAGGACACGCTGTTGCAACAGGTAGAAGCGAGAGATCTCATCGACTTCGGTATGATCCCTGAGTTCGTCGGGAGATTCCCTGTTCTCGTACCGTTCCACACCCTCGACAGAGACATGTTGGTCAGAATATTGACGGAGCCTCAAAACGCTATGGTGCCTCAATATCAGATGTTATTTTCAATGGACAAGGTAAAGAGTCGACTGTATATAATTGCAAATTAGATGTACGCGATGTACGTATGGTCTGTGATTCGTCTTTATGGATCAACAGGTAGAATTGACGTTCACCACCGACGCTTTGAACGCGATCGCGACGTTAGCGATGGAGAAGAAAACGGGCGCGAGGGGACTCCGGGCTATCATGGAATCGTTACTCTTGGAACCGATGTTCGACGTCCCCGGTAGCGACGTGATGTCCGTGCATGTGACCGAGGGAGTCGTGCGAGGCCAGGAGAAACCCCAGTACATCAGAAAACGCGAGGTTTCCGAGGAGGAGCTACAAGCTCAGCATATACACAATTAACAAAGAATGCATACTAAAGACACACCGCACATTTGATCGGTCTCTTAGAAAATGGTGTGACGGAAGAAACTATGTATTTCGGGACGATAGTTTTCGATTCGACAGAACTTTTGTAAATAATATATCTGTTCGTTGAGATCGATGCTTCTCAACGGGACAAGGCTACACTACACGTGCATTAACATCCGAAAACGAGATCTATAATTATCCTGTGTTCAATTACTCTGTAAGAGTATAGACGGGGATAAATTGATTCGATGATATATGCAATTTACTTTGTGTTCAAATAAATCGTAAAAATGTCAAACTTCACTAGCGAATTGTTTTTTTTTTTAAATAGACGTACGCGCGTACACACGCAAATACAGGCAGAGACTTGCGAATTAACATTTTAACATTGTCGATTCGTTTAAATTCGTTGTCGAAACGAGACATGTTCCAATTATTCGTTGCGAAGATGAATTAAATACAGATTTACCTGTTACAGGTGCGATTCTGTTCGTGCGTTTGTTCCACACGCTACCGCGGCAGACAGAAAATAAGATTACTGACAGCTGTCTGTCAGCTTGCGCGTATTCTGTAACACATGCGTATACGTAATACGTACGTATCATATTAAACTTTTTCAGATGCGCGAAACTGTTACAACTACGAATCTGGTATAAATTCACTACGTACCATACGATGGGTCACAGATTTGTTATAGAAATTGAGACGGGATAATCTGAATTTGAGATTATTTCCAAGTAGTTGCAACGATCGAGCATACATTTAGGAATGATAATTTTTCAGAGGAGTCTCAAGTTTTATTGAACGAAATGCGTTTAAGTTTTAAAAATTGAGAGTGGGCAATATTCTTAAACAATACATTTTGATAATATATGTATAATATGAAATAGGAAAGAGAAATTCAGAGTTTAGGAAATTCACATTTTCGGACGTAATCGTTAAGCATTAGTTAGTGATAAAATATTTCGTCGGTTATTCGATTTTGTTTTACATACATGCAAAATAGGTGTAAATGAAAGGCTGTGTAAATACATGATGCAAGTTAAAAAGGAAAATAATTGTACACATAACACTGTAAGCAAATGTTATTGAAAGTAAATGTGTGATATATATTATTCTCGAGAGTGTTGGATACAGACTTCTCTCCGTTAGAAGCGAATACATGGTGCCACCCTTAGATAGTACAGTTTCATAACTTGCATCTTTACAGCGTCTTCAATTCTTCTAGTGTAAGTATTTTCCAACGAGGTTTGAAACGATGTCACTCCAATAAATGTAATCGTTTTCGAGATCGCAGCCACAACGGATTTATACGTAGAATGACTTTGACTAATTCCGTGACGAATAAAAAATACGACTAAGCTGCTGAGAGTCATCGAGAACGTTGCTAACGTTTGGTAACAACGAAAAAATAGATGAATAATCGATACAGAGCGTAATAATTTTATAATCCATAATACAATCTATATAATCGATACACAAAAGAGACACTGATCAAGCGAACTCTTATATTTCATCGTAATACCACTGTGGATCTCGCGTCGTTTTCGGCTTCGGCCTTAGTACCGTTCGTAATTCTGTCATGACCCACTTAACAACCTTTACTATTACAACGTTTATAGTGAATTCTAAAATAAGAGCACCGAATCCTTTGTACAAACCGAGGGGTCCTTCGGTAGAAATGATCGTGTTGTAACAATCGCACGCCCCGCTGTATCCCGTAAGGAGCGGTGTCACGCTACGTCCTGTGTCCAGGTTGTCGATAATCGTTCTCGTACCCTGAAGGTGTAGTCTCTGTATCACCGTCTCCCAAGGATAGAACATCGTCGCGGCCATAAAGGCAGATATCAACGACGATTGTAATTCTATATCTTGTGCGACTGCCTCGGACAATACGTCTCTGCTGTATGCACCCTTTAAACGATACACAAACAACGTGGTACCCATCTTCGTTTCGAATGGACAAATTTTTCAAGTACTAACAAACGACTGCTCACCCTTATTTCTTGAGAGTGTTTGTGTCTGAGGTGCATAATGCGACTGGTAACTCCTCGAACGACCATGGTAAACAGATATTTCGACAATTCATAAGCAATGGTCGGCGGGAGAAGAGCGTAAATGGGGATCAATCTGCCCTTGTTGCTCACTGCGACCAAGCGAAGCGCTCCGTCACGGAAGACGTCCAATATTCCTGGACTCTCGGATGCAATCTCAGACTGCACCGTTTCTACCAATGACGCGGAGTAAAAGGGTGTCACGAGACCTATGGAAACACTGTCACATTCTCTTCAATATTTGATAGGAGTCGACGGCAAAGAGACGATGCGAAAAGTAAAATATATAAGTACCATTTAAGGAGAATATGCTGTCCAAATGCTTTCAACGAACTATTGCATGATATCTCTCTAAAATTAAAGACACGTTTCATTGACATCGTTGAAATCTTACACGCAGATGGCAAGAGTCGTAACTTGAAAACTGTCTCTTACTTTGGCCATGGCGTTATTTTAGAAATAAAATCTTCGACAGCCAGCAGCATCCCCTTTACAAGTAGAACCGAACCAATCCCCTTCCATAACGTATTTATCCCTTGCGTTTGATGAAGGCGTATAACTATAGGTACCAGAGTTATAGGTATTATGTGGTACTTAATTAACCCAGGATTTACTTGGCACTGCCTCCTTAAAACAATGAGGGGATGTACTAACAAGGTTTCTGTAATTAAGGTTGCCAGTCCACAACCAGCGACCATGTACTTATTTACATTGACGTCTGAAAATCAAACATTCTGTCATCGTAATGCCCTCGATCGCGAGTCGCCCGTTCGATTGAAACTGACCTCCTTCAGACGGGGGACTATCCTCGGCCAGAGGATGAACCGAAGGAACGTCCAAGGGGCGAATAACCTCTTGCCCATGATAAATATACATATAACTTTCGCTGTCCCGAGGCTTGAGAGGTTTACCTCGGTAAACGTAACTGTCCAATCCCGCCATTGTTACAGAGACCGATATTTAATAAATGTAACAACGCATTACGACTATAGGAAGTTTAGACTCCGATCAAACGTCGCATCCATGATCTGCACTCATCTGCACTTGCTTGAAGTTGCCGTACATAAGAAAATAACCTATATATTTTATGGCATGTGTGTGTGTGTGTGTGTGTGTGTGTGGCGTTATACATGTATCACACACGCACACATATGTATATTGCGCGGCGATCAAGGGCGTGAAATATGCGGTGGAACACTTTCCAAGATAGGCCGCTTGGCCGCAGCACACACCAATCGCTGCCGCCATTGCGGGTAACAGTGCTTCACTTCACTCGCATGATGGCTCAATTGTGTGACATGCATTCATACATACACGGTATACAGTGACAGTGTCAAGGTTCTCCCCACAGTATCATCGAGGAGTATACTGCGGGCGGGTACTGCGGTGGTGGTGGTGGTGGTGATGGTGGTGGTGGTGACGTTGTCGAAACTGAAATCGTAGCAAAGTTTATCAGAGTCCGGTTAGAATTCGATTTTCAATGCATGATCCGTTTAACCGTATCGTCGTTGTCGTCGTTTAATTCATCAGTCGGTGCATTCGAATCGTAAATATCAGCATACCGCGCGCGCGACGATGCATACGGTTTTTACACGCGTGAACGCTATTTTAGCGTACACATTGAGCGTTTCAGCGTGTCTAACATTTTGTTGTTTTCTCTCAACTGTATTTATCGATTATAGAGCGAACGCGACTTTGAATACCGTAAAAGTAGTCGTGTAAGTATAACTAGTATTTACTTGGAAGATGTTCAATCCATCGATTCATCATTTTTCATTTTCAAGTCACTCACGTGTCGTCGTGTAACGTTACATACGTGTCCCGAACTAGATTTCGAAAACAATTTCATTGACTTTTCATTAAACAATACATTGGGAAATCGAATTCAAGCCAAATTCCGCACTACTATATACATTAGTTCGATTCAAATAAATCATTTCAATTCATGTATATATGTCTTACGATGGTGACGATGATAATTCTGAACTGAAGTTTTGTTCAACAGGAAAAATGTGCCAGATTACAGTGCTTCGAGAGAAAAGAATGACCTGGGATACTTAACGTTTGATCTACAGACCGATATCCTTTTTTTCAAATACGCACACGTGTGGTGATGGTTTGGAAACGTCGAGATCGACGAGTGAAAATGATTACTCACTGACAATATTTTCCTTACATACAAAATTCGATATGTACATCTTGCTCCATTGTTCAACTGGAACGTGAAACAGCTATTCTTGTACCTGACAGCAGAATACAAAACTGAGAACAATGCATTTAATCAGGTATGGAAGATGTTTATTGTTACCGTGCTGCGGCGGCTTCGTCGTCGTAGTACTCGAATCGTACATAATATTTGTAGCCTCACGATCAAAATCGGGTAAACTGCACAGTACATGGTTAAAATGACTGATTTGATTGATCGGTCGGATTCCAGGTAGTGCTATGGGATAAAATAGTACTGCGCGGAGACAATGCCGTACTCGATTTTAAAAATATGAATACCAAATACTACTTCTGGGATGATGGAAACGGACTAAGGTACGTGTACGGACATGGATGGTCCAACACCACAGTTAAACAGCAATAACAAGCGTGCGCTTAGCAGTGACGCGTAAACTGATGATCGACTTGATCTCCATTCGTTCTCATTTTTTGCCCACACAGGGGGAACAAGAACGTAACGTTGACGTTGTCGTGGAACATCATTCCAAACGCTGGGCTCTTGCCGAGCGTCAATGCTCTCGGTTCTCACACCTTCTTATTCCCATCTGAATATACCTCGTTACGCGTGTGAGCAAGGCTGATTACTACATACGTACGGACGGACGCATGCCTGCAATCATCATCGCGTTGTTTCGCAAATTCTCTATAATTACTCCGTACTGACACACAAATGAAATCGACGTTTAAACAAACTGGATGCTATTTTTCGTGATCATGATCATGGAAGCGGAGTGCGTGCGCGTACGTGTACATTTCTTTCAGACACCGTAATGAAACCCATACATTTTTATACGTGAATCTTGTCTGAGGGTGGGTGGGGTTGGTGTGAGAAAAGAAACAAAGCGGACACGATATATCGATTCTTTATTATAATTTGTTTCGTTTAATTGTATCTCATTCTGTTGTCCGCAAACCGAAGAAAAAAAATAAACTTTGTCATGAACGAACTACTGAATTGATCACAGCAATGAAACTGTATCGAGGTAATGCACATTTCTCATCGGTTACTCGATTCAATTCGACGACGACGACGACGATGATGGAACCACATAGAGATACCTATTCTTTATTATTCATGAATGCCATTTTTCATTCGATTTATCATTACAATTTTTCTCTGTCTCCTTTTCGCCATTCGAAGACGACGACGACGATGACTCGTGCTCTCGTTCTTCCTCACCCTCCTCATCCTCGTCATCCGCACCTTTTCCTAGAAATGACGACCGGAATAAAACAAGTAAGAGACGAGAGAAAGAAATACGAAAAGCAACCAAGTATAAAAGGCGGGACGTACCGTAATAGTCGCATCCACTCTCGTCGTCGTCCTCTTCGTCATCGTCGTCGTCCAGATCGTCGTCGACGTAATCGTCATCAGCGTCGGATTCGTACATTCCGCCTTGGCTTTGTCTACCAAATTTATGACTCCTGGCTGCGTGATAAAAAATGTAAAATCAAAAAGACGTTTGTCTCGTCCGCGAGATGACGAAGAATAGAAACAACCAGGGTAACTGCCATCACCAGGGGATTAATGCCAGGGAAATGAAACGAAACAATGGACTCAACTTACTCGACATACTAAGATCTTTCGTTTGAGACGTTTCAAAACTACATTTAGGACACGGTATCGGCTTGTTCTTCTCGTACTTGAATCCTTTTCTTCGAACATGATCTTCGCAGTAACACGTTTTACATCTTAAGCAAGAGTACTGACCCAACCTGTTGCAAGATTGGCCTGCAACGAAAAAGATGCGTGAATTGTCAATCATCAATCGCTCGCATACATCCTGGCCATGTAGCAGGCAGAAGTGCGTACGTCGGCACGTGAACCGTTGCTTACATTTGAAATTCTCTGCCTCCAACACTTGACACGATGCTTGGTGTTCAAATTGATCATCCTCGCAAAGGAAACAGTCGCAAAACGAACATCGAAATATCCTACCACCATGATCCCAAACACCTCTCTCACATTCCTGACAAACAGAGTCTGTCAACGGACAGACGCACGCATGGGACGTGAGACAGCGTCTTCCATGGCAAACCCAGGCTTCGCAATGATCGCACACAGCTCCCTACGGCATAAGAGGATTACACATATCTCTTTCCAAACATGCAGACATGTCAAATGAAAGACGCGCGCCCACGACTGGAAAGGAACGAAAAAAGAAATCAATAAAACTAGTATACCAACCACCATACCCAAACCCGTGGTAAATATGCCGGGATGACGAACGACGCAATCACCTGTCTTCAGCATACATTTGACTTTTCCGCAATGTGCGCACATGGGTAACCGTTGGAGACTTTGACAAAAATAACAGAAAGCTCTGCTCTTTTGCTTCTTACCACATTTGTCACATTCCTGTCAATTAAAATGAACTCGTATTATATACATATATGAATATATAGAGAGACAAATCGCACGCGTATAAAAACCGTAAAACGCGACGCGCCGAAGAGATCATCGACGACGATCTGTACGATATATTCTATGTACTTGCCATAACCGCATTGCATGGAAATTTAGCTAAATCCAACTGATCCTTCGCGGTCCTTATCTCCTTCTGTCTCAATTTTTGTTTCTCCGCTTTTCTCCTCTGTCCCGTCTTCTTCTTCGGCATCCTCACGAAAGCTTTCACACGCCGCGGCCACAATCACAATATTGTACTGATTGTAAAACGAATCTCTACACTTGACGACATGAACGACAATCATGTCGTCCACGAGTCGACTCACCCACTATCAGCACAATCAGCAAATCAATCTGTAGTATATAATTTGAATAAAAATTTATAAATTTACTGTAAATTATAGAAATTTTTATAAATAGTATAAATTTAAATAGTAATCATTAATTAATTAAATTCACGTTGTATAAAATTTTTCAGATAATCTGAATGTATATAATATCTCTTAATTATTTAAGGTTACATAGTAAATGTATTATAGAAGGAATAATTTTTATATAAATATAATTAAAATTTACACATATGTGCACTAACCTCAAACGATTTTGCACATTCGGTGCACGTGGCACCATCTAGCGTTCACGACAGCGAACCTGATTTTCCACATTCGGTGTACGTGGCGCCATCTAGCGTTCACGGCTGCGAACATGCTTGACTCCGATATGTACGGCAATATTTCTGCAATTTTCGTTTTTCCTCAATAACTCCCGAACGGATGGACGTAGGGGGGCGTATTTAGGCTCATTTTGTAGGGGACGACGAGATCTACAATTTCTGTGCAAAGAGAATTCGCTAGTGCCAATAGTTACCGAGTTATTTGCAAAAAACTGTTTTTCTGTTTTTTCCCAATAACTTCCAAACGGATGGACTTAGGGAGACGTATTTAGGCTCATTTTGTAGGGGATGACGAGATATATAATTTCTGTGCAAAAAGATTTCGCTAGTGCCAATAGTTAATAAGTTATAGACGAAAAACGAAAAACAGTTTTTTGCAAATTACTCGTGAACTGTTGATGCTAGCGAGAAACTTTTAAATAGAGAATGTAGATCTCATCGTCCTCTACAAAATGGTCATATAAACGTCCCCCTAAGACCATCCGTTCGGGAGTTATTAGCAAAAAACGAAAATTGCGAAAATCTGAAGGTGTACTCCTTTGGAAAAATCTCAAAAAAAAAAATACGTAATCTATCGTATGTATTTGATTTCATTGCAAAGTATTTGTAATAGTCTTAAGGGAAATTGTATAGATANACTACTCCTACAATGACTAACGCCCATTCCTTAACGAGAACTATGACTCGAAATAATAGCCCTGTCCACTATTAAATTAGTTCTATAAGTATGTCAAATTCCGCACGGCTAAATTCTTGGAAATGACGTTATCAGAAGAACTTCGTGCTACCTCCTATACTATCATATTCTCCTGTTACAAAGTCCAATTTTGGAGAAAAATTTTTGCTCTTCGAGAATTCTTGGAAATGACGTCATCAGTCGCAGTTAGTGCTACCTCCTATTACTTTATATTCTCCTAATACAAAGTGAAATTTTCGAGGAAAATTTTTTTCTCCGACAATTCTTGGAAATGACGTCATCGGTAGGAGTTAGTGCTACCTCCTATGATATCATATTCTCCTAATACAAAGTCCGGTTTTGGAGAAAAATTTAGCTTTAAATTGGACTTTGTATCAGGAGAATATGATATCATAGGAGGTAGCACTAAATTAGTTAGTGGTACCTCCTACCAACTCATATTCTCCTAATACAAAGTTGATTTCCAAGCCAAATTTTTCTCGAAAATTGAACTTTGTATTAGGAGAATATGATAGCATAGGAGGTAGCACTGAGTTCTTCTGATGACGTCATTTCCAAGAATTCTCGGATGGCAAAATTTTTCTCGAAAATTGAACTTTGTATTAGGAGAATATGATAGCATAGGAGGTAGCACTAACTCCTGCTGATGACGTCATTTCCAAGAATTCTCGGAGAGCAAAAATTTTCTCGAAAATTAGACTTTGTATTAGGAGAATATGATAGCATAGGAGGTAGCACTAACTCCTGCTGATGACGTCATTTCCAAGAATTTCGCAGCGTTGAACTTGACATACTTATACGACTTATTTAATAGTGGCCAGGGCTATTATTTCGAGTTATAGTTCTCGTTAAGGAATGGGCGTTGGTCATTGTAGGAGTAGTGAATAATTCGACAGTGAGACATATGTTTAAAAGGATCTTTATTTAATTTTTAAACAAGTTACAGAATACAAAAATCTGATATCTATACAATTTCCCTTAAGACTATTACAAATACTTTGCAATGAAATAAAATACATGTGATGGATTATGTACCTTGACATAAGGACGTGCTGATCGTCTTTTAACGCTAAAGCAGTAGAACTCACCGGGGAAGGTGAGCCCGTAAAGGAACGTGATATTCCTGTTCGTAGAAAACCCATTTTATTAGTTAGGGGACTGGGAATGGCCGTCGGCAACACTCCACGATTTGCAGTGTGCTGGCGTCGCAATGTGTATCCGGAGTTAATTGGAAATAAAGGGATTAAACAGGAAATACTGATGAATTTATTTTAGTTATCACAATACAAGCAAACACGTCTGTTCTGTCCGATCTCCAAGGAAGGGAATGGACAGGAATGGATCAGAATGGATTGACAAAGTAACATCGCGATAAATTGAAAATCGCGGGCAAGAGACGATCGCAGCAGTCGTACCAACTGCTAGGTTGATACCTAGGACTAGGGACTTGTGGACGAAGAGCCCACAGGTTAGTGATTTTGAACGCCATCTCTAGTGTACAGTACAAACAAGATTTCCGCTGCTGTCACTGATATTAGTTCAGTTGGAATTGAAAGAAGCTAGATCTTTTCCGGTTGTACAGCACACCGAGCAACATGGGTAGGTGATCGTTAAATTGTATTTGTAATATTTTCCCAAAGCGTAAACTGTAAATTGTTGTGCAGCAGATAATCTGATTGACCGTGCAACGCGTTCGTTAAAAATTCAAAGAGATATCTGCTGCAAAACGATCGGTTAATGATTTCAAATTACGTCGGAATAACGTGTTGAAAGTGCTTCAACGTTTGATAAATAATTGCTGCCTGGTTTTAGACTTTGTATCTAAACTAATTCTAATCAGATCGCGTTGTACGAGAATAATCGAGTAAAAGCAAATTTTAACGTGCGGAATTGTACGACGCGAGTGATACATAACCTAAATTCTCGATTCGATTCGCAGGAAAACCTCGTGGTCTTCGTACAGCACGTAAGCACGTCAATCACAGACGTGATCAACGATGGAATGATAAGGATTACAAGAAAGCGCACTTGGGAACGAGGTGGAAGGCGAATCCATTTGGCGGTGCGTCCCACGCCAAGGGGATTGTTTTAGAGAAAGTGTACGTATGACTGGAGCGAGTGGTTCTAAGGGCTCGTCTTATACTCATTGAGACGAGTGAAAAATGTCTTTATAAATGAATACATGCTTGTTCCAGTGGCGTAGAAGCTAAACAGCCGAACTCGGCTATTCGTAAATGCGTCAGGGTTCAACTAATTAAAAACGGCAAGAAGATCACAGCCTTCGTGCCTAGAGACGGGTGTTTAAACAACATCGAGGAGAATGATGAAGTTCTCGTCGCGGGATTTGGTCGTAAGGGACATGCCGTCGGCGACATTCCAGGAGTAAGATTCAAGGTGGTCAAGGTCGCTAATGTATCATTACTTGCTCTTTACAAAGAGAAGAAAGAGCGACCCAGGTCTTAAGAGATCATTATGTACCCCTGTGTTTTTAAATAAATTAGCTATATATACAACACCAACCGCACGCCTCGTTTTTATTTCCCCAGGCTTTATTCTAAAGGGACATGTAATTGAATTTAAAAGATGACCGGAGAATGATAATTAATACGGTGCGATGACACGGAATTTTCTAAGCGTTTTGGTACGTTCCGGTATTCAGAGTTGTAACTTATATTTAAGATCGCCTCAAGCATTTGCTTAAGTCCCAATTTTCTGTACAAGATAGGGACAGGAAACATAGGATAGATAGGGATAGCAAGTGCTTAAGACAATCGTAAGAATAAGCAACAATAAGCAACGACTCTGAATACCGGCTATAGACTACGATTCAGCGATGAACATTTGCTCTGTCCTTGATGCCCTCGACTTTTATTGATTCGCTCACAATCGTGTCTGTAGGATTGCTACATGAGTATCGTGCCGTGCCGCTACTGCAGCATCCGCAAATCACGATTGAAAGGCAAAGGATTCGAATGAAATAAACGGAAGTAGGTTTTAGTGAATGCAACACGATTTACTCTGCCCTTTCTATCACCTTTCAATCGTGATACAGGTTCAGAGTGGGAACGAAATTATGTAGTGTTCGAATTCCAGTGGAAACGGTATCGTAACGTGGACGTGAACATGACCGATCTCAAATGGGAGAGAGAAGGAAGGACGCGGGAGGAGCGTATTTTACAATTAATTCCGACAGCAGTAACGATGTCGGACAATGTTCGCGTAACTGGGACAAATATTTGAGAGGTAGAAGTAAATAATAATCGATAAGAGAAACATGTTTTTGGTGGGCTTGACAGGCGGCATAGCTACTGGGAAAAGTACCGTCGCCGCTATCTTCCGTGAATACGGAATTCCCGTCATCGACGCCGATAAAATTGCACGAAAAGGTAAGACTGAACGAACCATTTCGCCCGTCATCGTGACCGCTCAGACACCTGTCGTTCTGTTCATTCGTTTTAAACGTACATTTCATGTTGAACAGTCGTGGAGCCGGGGAAACCAGCCTGGCGTAAGATACGAAGCGAGTTCGGCACGGATATATTTTTGGACACGAACGAGATAGACAGAACCAAGCTCGGCGATTTAATTTTCAACGATGTGGAAAAAAGAAAAAAACTGAACGCTATAACGCACCCGGACATTTACAAAGAGATATACTGGCAAACGTTTAAGTATCTGTTGCAAGGTCATCAATTCATAGTCATGGACTTGCCGTTGCTCTTCGAGACGGGACACATGTTGAATTACTTGCATAAAATAATCGTCGTTACTTGGTACGTCTACCTTTATTCACCGAGGACCGTCTAAAGCGATTCGAAACAAACGAAATGTTTCAATCTCTATCTATGTTTAATTTTAGCGAAGAAGATTTACAACTTCAGCGGCTCATAGAAAGGACAGGCTTCACGGAGACTAAAGCACAGCTGAGAATCGCGGCGCAAATGTCGTTAGACAAGAAAGCTGAGTTGGCTAATTTCGTTATTGAAAATTCTGGTAGCGAATGCGATACCAGGGAACAGACTATCAAAGTGATTAACGTCTTAAAGGCTTCCAGGCATCATTGGAAGTTACGATTCTTCGTCGGATTCTGTTGTACCGTTCTATTCGCCGGCGTGTACTGGTTGAAAAATAGAAGCCCACGATCGTTGCCATCGACGGCATAACAGAGCTCCGATGTCAAAAACTACCTTTAAACGCAAATAACATACTGTGTTGGCATTTAAATCTTACTCTGCATTTATCAGATCTACGAATCGGTCGAATCCGGTGTGGAACCATTGCCTATTTTATATACATACGTTTTAAAAACTATAAAATCTAATGGTATCACTTCCTGTTTATATTTCTATCGCAACCGATCGATACACACCCTTCTGTGATAAAACACGCGTTCCGTTTTCCAGTTCTCTTTCCTAGAATGCATGTGTATGTAAATGCATATTATCGCGAGATATAGTCGTTCGATCGATACTATTAACGAACCGAGCGTCGATTTTAATCTGCTCGATACTGTACAGAAACACATTTTACATCTGGTCACGAACTATTAAACGATTAATTCCAGAAGCGAGTGTAATGAAGAATCCAGAATTTTTTTTATTTCATTCTGTATTTTCATTACTGCAAACATTTTATGCCACGGTTACATTTCAACAGCGCGATGGAGAACGTTCGACCGACTGAATCGATCGGAAAACTTAAGGATGTATTGGCTGTAGTCAATCCCAAAAGTTTACGTACCTTAGAAAAACGCATTTCCTATAATTAAAAAGAAATCAGACATCGGAAGAACAATGCTAATAATAAATAGCTACGTGCTAAAANCCGACGTCTGATTTCTTTTTAAAAAATGTGTTTCTAAAGTGCATAAACTTTTGGGATTGACTGTATAGCCAATACATCCTTAAGTTGAGATTCATCACTTTAATGACGTGCTCGTGAACAGAAGGCCGTACATAAAAGATTATACATTTGCCTATTATATATATAAAATAGTACTTATTGCTCAACTTTCTTTCTTTCTTCCTTCCTTTAATACTAATTACGCAAAATATGTACATACATATATGCCGACGGACGCACGAGTGACGTGTGGCTCGAAAAACAGATATAAGTTTATTTGGTTTGTAGTACGCCCACACGATCCGTGTGTACCTCATTCTTACGTTTACGCCAGGCCAGGTATTTAAATCCGCTTTGCGTTCCATCACCTATTGAACGCAGACGATCCACTCGCAAAGCAAGTAAAATGATAAAAACGTGCGAGACACAGACAGACAGACAGACAGACATAGAGAGGAAATCTAACCTGATAAGTACTTAATTTATTGAAGTGTCACTATCTCAAAGGGATATTTAACTTATTCATTAAAGTGGAAGTATAAAAATTGTTTATGAGAAAACGAGGAAGCAACGGAATACTATTTACAGCGTTGATGTACGTACAGAACATTCGTAGGGTTCACTACCGTTCCCGAAGCAGCGGTAAACCTCGACTTCGAACGTTTCAATATGGTTCATCATTTACTTTCACGTTTTATTCTTGTTTCGTATACTTATCCTAAACACGTTTCTTACCTACAAATTTTACAAACCGTCTTCCTCCTCCTTTCAACGATACAAAAAATTACCTAAAAAAAAAAGTTATCCGTGCATCACCGTCGTCGTGATTAAGCATTTTTAAGCATTCAATATGGTTCCAGACGCTTCTCTCATCAATTATTCGTATGTAAATCTATACACACTTTGTACCGCGTATATTAAACATGTTAATACAGGTAGTAACGCGCGATGATCACCTCTCGCGAGGTGAATCACTGAACGTAACGACGCGAACGTTTTGTTCGAGCCGTGCTAAAAAAAATAGTCATGATCTTTACGTTTGTCCTGTACGATGATTATTCCTCTACGAGTTTCTACGTAAATATCTGACACGCCGCGTGTCGTGATCAGTGGGATATTTCCAACGTCATGTACCTCCGAACGCAACGAGGCCGCATCCTGCGACCAGGTTTACTGCAACACGGGCCTGAGTTCTTGAGTCATGATAGGATAAGAGACCAACGGGGCTGTAGCACCGGATATCGCGAGAGGTAAGCTGGCAGGCTGCTGCGTGTTAGGTGGCTGTTGATTAGTCGCCTGGGGACCTGAACCGCTCATCGTGATCGTTTGCTGAGCCATCGTGACGATCGGCGGTGGCATCGAGACCGGCGCCATCGACACCGCTGAAATGGAAACAGGAGCGACCGTGGCTATACTTACGGGAACGGTCGCGACGCTAGCAGTGACCGTACGCAAGGTGCCGGCGGCCACTGCCGCGTTCACCATCTGCTGAGGCGTCGGGGCCTGCGACGGTGGGACGGTGTTCGTAATGGTGACCGCCGGCACGGTGACGGCGGTCACGTTCGCGGTTCGATTCCCTGACATTCTCAGTTGGGCATTTTGATCCAGAAGAAACTCGTTGGTCGCCGTCAGATCGCTGACCTGAGGAAGCGAGAAACACGTCGATACTAGGCTAACAGGAACGCGCGGACCAGCGACGACAATGAGGAATTAAACTGACTTGCTTTTTCAATTCCTCTATCTTCTTTCTCAGCAACACGTTTTCGTCTTCGAGAACGATCGCCCTGGCCTCGTTACGCGGTATCACCGGATAATAGTAGCCAGGGGTGACCGGTTGCGCGGCGTGTTGACCTACGAGCGGCGAGCCTTCGAAATGAACGACGGTCTCGCCGGAGAATATCCGCCTCTTTGGTTCGGGAGGTCCTATGTAGTCGGCCGGATGCGAAGATGGGTTGTAACCGTTGTTCGTCGCTAGATTGTGTTGATCCTCCATTTGCCAGTGAAAGCTGCGAACACGGAAGACGTGACGAGATCCGAGAGCGACCGATCGCGTTCGGTATAATTACCTTCTGTCCTCCTCGTATCTGCGAGTTTCACCATTACTGGTGCCGTTGAAGTTGTGCTGCGGCCTGGACGCGTTGTGATGCGCGGCCACGATCAAATTGTGCTGCGGTTCCTCGCTCTTCCAGTGTCTGAATTTGCAATGCGGCCTCTGGCAGCTGCCCTTGATGAAGTCCTTGCACATCGGATACTCCGACTTTTCGTTGTTGTTCTTGAGCCTGCTTAAGATGTGAGCGGGCAGCTCGCCCGTGGCTCTGAACCTCTTTTCCTCGCTCTCCGTGCAGTGGAGGAACTTGCACCCGGGCCAGTTGCACATACCATTTTGAAAGTCGTGACAGAACGTGTACTCCTCCACGGGGTCGTCCTCGGACCGTTCGTGGAGGTACTTGCAACGTTTACCCCTGTGGCAGACGTTACGCAGAAAATCTCTACAGACGCGGGTCGGTGACGCATCTCCGGTCGCGTTCGCCGCGACTGCCGGCTTGATGATCGTCGTCCCGCCGCCTCTCGCGTTGTCCGACTTTTTTTTAAGCTTCTTCATCGATGATACATAGCGGTCATACCTCGCGCACAAGTGATTCTTAATCGATCTTCATTCCTCGCACGTTAAACGCGCGTACACTGTAATTATAAAAACAGTTTATTGTAACACGGTTCTAGCTGGTATCTCGTTCGAGCAGATTTCCAGGCGACGTGAGAGTAAAGGGGGCCTCGGTCGGGTCTCAGTTAAGTTAATTTTTATTCTTTTGTTATATAATGACTATTACATGGGTAGTAAGATTATATCAACAGTGTTATGTACAGTATCCTCTTATCATTTATATAAATCTTCGCGATATTAAATGTAACTCGAATCTACCAGGGAAAAGCGGCGGGTCAGTGTCCCCTTTTTTGGAAAGTTGAACGTATCGATCATCGTTCAGATTATACAATCGATCGGCATTCAACGTTTCGATAGAACAGAAATAGATCAGGCAATGGCACTGTAACGAAACTCTTGGGTGAATTACGAAAATACAGTTAATTTTAGTCGCGCTCGTATAAAAGGAATAAATAGAAAATTACAGTACTAGAACAGTTTCTTCATCTTCTTCTTCATTTTTTTTTTGTTATTTTTCTCTACAGGATAGGCCACCGTATCCCATAAATTATTACGTACACCGACCACCTTTGATAAGAACGATTAGTGAAAATTTCGTACTGAAGAATGTCGTTTCCTCTTAAATTTATTAGGTCGTTCGACTGGATATGCGTCTATTGTCATGTTACCACCGAGGAACAAAGAATACGAGAACAAAGAAAAGCGCATGTAACAAGGGAGGAAAATGAGAGAGAGAGAGTACCAAAAGAAACTCGATTGATCGAAGCATACTGCGTAACGTTAAACATCGTATGTATATCAACAAATTATTTTTAAGTACATATATATATTTATATATATATATATATATATACACATATAGGAAACGATCGTAGAAAAAGGAAAGGGTCGCGAATTAAAATGAGCTAACGCTAACGTTAAATAAATTGATCCTTTGAATAAACGAATTTACAATTAGAGAACACACGTAACACGATCATTTAAGTCGTACATCTTTACAGTTCGATTTCTTTCATCCGATCGTTATTCCCTCGTTCCTTCTAGAGATCCTTAGAGTCGAGAGTAGAATGTCGTCAGAGAAATCGAACGAACACGACTAATCGCCAATTTGTTTAAATAAATATCGAGTATTTTAATTAGCACACGTACTTTGCGAGAGCCGTCGTTTCTACGGGAGAACGTTCAAGGAAAGTTTTATAAAGACGTAGAACGTATATACGAGGGGCATTTATAAAAATCGATCTTTGCATATAAACGTTATTTATAATTTTATGTAATAATACATTTGAGTCGTCGGGTGTGCAGTGCTCGAACCGATCGCAAAAAAGAATGACGTAAAAGTGTGCGGTATCCGTAAATAGAGATTAATACAATTTTCTTTTTCTTTCTCTCTTTTGTTGTTGTTGTTGTTGTTTTTTTTTAAAGAAGATATGATATCGAGATTGGCAGCATGTTGAACATTTTACATGGTATTGTCTATACTTCCTCTAATACGTTTCTCCTAATCTAATCTTTCCTTCTATGTACATATTTATTGCTACAAATCTCTGTTTTATATTTGATTTTGGTTCCTCGTTTGTTTTTCTCCGTTTTCTTCTTTCGCGTGTGTGTGTGTGTGTTCCTTCATAAATGGTAACATAGTACACGAGTAGTACTTCTTGACGCCGAGGGATCTTCTCGTGATTGGTGCTTTAACGACGGCGTCGGAAAAATATATACATACAATTCTTACTATTTTCGTCCGTATAAAAATGTTTAAATTTCTCGTTGAAACTACGCACACACGCGCGTATACACACACACCACAGTTTATGTTCGTCTCCTTCCTCGAGAGCCATCAACGAGCGATATAAAAAAGAAAAGAAATTCGAATATCAACCGATAGGGTAAAAGTTATGTACATAGAGAATATCTGAATGAAACAATTAAAATATTTTTTCAAGCAGCATCCATATCAGTATGATCGCGATCGGAGCCACGTAATGTATCGGTACTGTGTAAGTTGTGTTCAACAGATCACCACATTGTGCTTTGAGAGCCGCGTATTTCTTGGACAGCTCCGCCTTCTCCTCGACGAACGAGTTAAACCTCTCCTTCAAAATGACCAACTCCTCGTGGAGCTCCTGTATCCGTTGAGCTTCGTTCTTGGCACGGTAATAAAATTGTTTTAATTTCTCAACGATCTCCTCGTGTGGCTCGCAGATCAACCACTCCTTCAAACTTTCCAACTCCTTCCTGATCACCTGCTGCGACTCGAGATCGTCCTCGGTCTTCAACGAATCCAAAGATCCTATCAGAGTTTGCAACATGTACTCCCTCGTGTGCACGATCTGCTGTGCACTGTCGCTCTTGGACAACGGCTTCAACGTCTTCACGTAGTCTCCTTCCAGATGATCTCCCTGGCATTCTTCGGCCAGTTCACCGCTATCCTTGTCCGTCCTCGCCTCGTCTCTCTTCTCGCGTTGATCGATCTCGGTGGTCGGATCGTACGAGACGGCACTGTCCGTGCCGTCGACATTTATTTCCACCGCCTCGTCGGCTTGGTTCTTCGGTCTCTGGCCAGCTCCGGACGAATCGGACGTTCCCAATTCGTTACTGTTCTCCTCGCACGCGAATCTCACTTCCATCTTCGTAGGTACAAAAATCTCTTCGACCACTTTGTACAGAGGCTCCTCCTTCTTAACTTCGACGACCGATTTCTCGCTCATATCGTCGCTGGTGACGCTGCACGTGTCGTCGGTCGCGTCCGAATTGGCATCGGATTCGGAGTTCACGTCCGCGTTGTCTACGTTCGCTTTTCCGTTGACCAAAGTCCTCCGAGACGGTGGCGGTAAGATGTATTCCGTCACGTTATCGTCGTTCTCGCTTATCGAGTCGTCCAGCTGTTCCTTCGAGAACGAGTAGTCGGAATTCTTCAACTGATTGTAATCGATGTCCTGCGAGTTCAGTTGATTGTCCTGATCGTCCTTCGACGGATAGAAATTGGTCTCCGAGTCGATGTCCATGTTGTCGACGTGAATGGAGTTGAGCTTGTTCAGAATGACGTTGATAGCTTCGATGGGATTCTCCTCGTCCTTCGATTCCATCGTGTCGCTGGTCACCAGCTTCGAGTTCATGTCCTGTAGAATCTGCATGTAATTTCTGAGGGCAGTGATCTGCTTGTAAACGTTGACAGAGTGCAAACGGGAGTCGCGCAGTCTCGCTTGCAGATTCTTCTCCGTCTTCGACTGATCCTCCAGTCTCTTCAACAATTCCTGCTTCTCTTGTTCCGATCTTTGTACCATGTCTTGCATGCTCTCCTCGGTATCCTTCAGCTTGTTCGTGGCCTCTTGAAGCTTCTTCTGGGCTTCCGTGTACTTGCTGCACAATTCCTGCAGCTCGGTCTCCGTGTACTTGGCCACGTTGTGAAGACTCTGACACTCCTCCTCCGTCTCGTTCAAACGTCCCTCCAATTGAACCAGTCTCTGCGTCACTTCCAATTTCTCCTGTAACACCTTCTGTAACGCCTCCTTGGCCGCGTTCTGATATTGTACTTTCTCCTCGTGGAGCGCTACCAAGTCGTTCCGAATCTTGTCCTCCGTGTAATTCGAGGAATAAACGGCCAACTGGCTCTCCATGCTCTCTACCCACGACAGCAAACGATCCTCTATGATCAGCGCCTTCCAAGATTGATTGGCAGCTTTCTTGGTATTTCCTACGATCTGTTCAAGGTACACTAACTTAGAATAAAGCACTCTCTCGCGCCTGGACGCTTCCTGCATCACTTGGTTCAGCTTGTACACGTCCTCCAGGGAAACGTTGTTCACCGGCAACGATACCGACGTACTGAGACTAGCTTTGGCTTCCTTCCCGTCTGGCAAATACAATTTCAACGTTGCTACTATACACCCGTGGGTGACCTTCTTCGTACTCTCTACCACGTCTACCCCGAACTGCACTATGTCACCGGAACATACCTCTTTAGGTGCCGAGTCTAGACCGGTCGCGCTCAGTCTCTGATTATTGACGAACGTTCCGTTGCTGCTGCGGGTGTCTTGTAGAAAGAACTTGCCCCCGGAGTACCAGAGCAACGCGTGGTTCCTGGAGAGTACCTTGCAATCGAAGATCGCGTTGTTCGGAGTGGCTCTGGCTCTCGCTACGGAGCGGCCGATCTTAACCGGCTGGTCCAACGACAACGTGCGCTCTTGGAAAGGATGCGAATTGTCACGGCAGATCAAGATCCCCTTGGCCGTCATTTTGTTGTTACTTTGCGTGGTAGTCACTTTCAGGTTGGAATTATTCTGGCTGGCAGGAAAACTGGCATTTTGTACCCACTCGCCACTAGCTACAACCATAGCCAATTTAAATGGAACGATCAGTTTCTGGACGACAGTTTAAAACACGTACGAACCGAGAGAATTATTTATAGACGACGACAGAGGACGAGGAGGTGCAGAAAGAAGAACGTCACGCGTTCGAATATCGTAGAACAGGGTTTTGTACGGTCGCGGTCGATTTACCATGAGAATCGTTGTTGGTCACAACGTGAGTCTGGACATGGTCGAAAATCACTTTTACCGTCGTGTCGATTTACCACGATGCTGCGAACTTTTACTCGCGGGAGGAGCTCGCGGTCCGATCGTGAACACGGTATTCCAACCTTCTGTGGCCAGAGATTCGTCACGATAACAAGTGTCATACGAGTTCACACGATTCCTCGTAGAAAATTCTGTTCCGTCGTCGTGGTCGTCGAGGCTCGTCCAGCGGCGATTATTTTTCCGATTCTCGTGAAATGCCCCGTGTACAAACGTTACTGTTACACACCGCGTGCCCGTGTTAATTAGTCGAGTCGAGAATATTCCCCCGATCGGTTGATCGGTCGGGCGTGAACGTTCCTTACGAGGTGCGTGCAGCCGCACGTCGGATCCTCCGAATGCACTGCAGAAAAACCTAGCAGATATGTTTCCTCGCGCAAGTAGCAGCGAGCAGTACGCTTTCACACTTTCGTCCTTCGCACGGACAGTTTCTTCGCACTCGGAGATCTTCGACGTTGAACGCGATCGGGCTCGGAGGAACACACGGGTTCGATGCGACGACGCTCGATCAACGATGGTCGGGCATGATCAATCGTCTAATGTTGTGATCGACGAGATGAGCAAAAATATTGTTCCTCGAACTTCTACATTACTGTATACCGAGAAGACACAAGCGGTCCACGTTCCTTCGACTCGGCACACTCTCTTTCAGTTCCGCGTTTCGCTGTTTATCGACCGGCGCCAGTATGACGGTCATCTATACGATTACGACAATGTAACGAATTCAAATTGGACACTCGGCCCTGCTGTGCATCGCACCGATCGTACAAACGAGAAAACGAACTTTAACAACGAACGGTCGTTTGCCCGTGTCGACTGACTCTGACAATCTCGACGACTTTTACCATTCGATCTCTACGAATTCGGAACGGTGGCAAGATGTCACGCCATCGATTGAGAATTCAACGAATTGGCAGTTTCGTCGACAAACGATGTTTACGTCTTTCATTATTCCCCATTAGAAGATCCAACAGAATTTACTGCTTGTAATTGTAAATGTGAAACCGAGAACTCTGATTCTTTCCTGCTTATTTCACAATGTACTAAACTAATATTATTACTTACTAAACTATATTAATATTGCTCGTCATTGTTTAAAAAATAAAATCCGATTTCTTTAAAAATATTCGAATTCCAGTATTATTTACCTCAAATTTATAAAACACGATGTATCGTTATGAAAAGATTTGTCTCGTGCGATTACCTTGTACAATGAAATTATACAATAAAATCTTTTTTTACGTACGACACGCGTAGCTTTTTCCATGCTTCTCCCATTTATTAAAATACCAAAACGGTAGAAAGAAGTTTATACCTAAAGTCTAATGAACAATCTCGTAGCGTGTAACACGAGATTTCGGTCTATTCGTATCGACAGGAATATGGAACATGGTTACGTTAAACGCAGCGAACGAGGCGCTTCAAAGATACCTGCTAACGTGTAAAGATTTTTATAAATCAATATCTTAAACGGAGTCAATGAATCCTTTCGAAACATATGTGTCGTTCTTACATGAAAACGTACTAAGGTCAATATTTCTCGAATAATTTACTCCGCGACGACACGAATATAACCTGAAACACGTTACCAAGTAAACTCCCGAGCGAAGCGTTTATGTTTATAGTTGCTTCGAATCCGAGTGATGGGCATTCGTGATCGCGAGAACTTTGCATTTCCTGTACGCGAGTGGCACGATCAACGCTGGCAATAATACAACATTCATATAGATATAAAAATGTCGGACGAAGAGGATTATATGTCGGATAAGTTTTTACAAGGGAGCCAGGAAGCTTCGTCGACCAGCCTCCTGTACCGCCACGCGGATAAAAGGAAATTTGAACTGATGAAAAAGAAGATCGAGATAGAGACGAAGTTGAAGGAGAAAGGTTCCATGAAACAGATCGAGGAAGAAAAAAGAGAGGAAGGTTTATCCTCTGCGATTACAAGTTCCAATAAAGGTTCGTCTCCTCTTTTCATATATTCATAAAACTGTTGCTCGCGATTCTTTGATAAGCGTATCGTTTTTTCTCAGGTTTTGAAATGCTTATGAAAATGGGATATAAACCTGGTCAGGGTATAGGAAAGACAGAATCGGGAAGGACCGAGCCCATTGGTCTGGAAGTGAAATTGGGCAGGCAGGGCTTAGGGAAAGAGGCTAAGAAGAGAGAAAAGAAGGTCAAAGATAATTCGCTTAACGACAAACTGGATAACAAAGTCATGAAAGATTTTCGTGGCAGAATAGCACAGAGGAGAGCCGAACAACTTTTAAAGGTAGACCTGTACAAGAGTCAGAAGATCTGTGAACAGTTGGATGCACAACAAAAAGTGGAGGAGCCCAGGGAGTCATGGTTTTGGTTGCCTCAAGCAAAAGAGAGTGGCAGTGAAAATGAGGAAGAGGAGGAGGAGGAGGAAGAAGAGGACGACGACGACGATGACTCTTTACCGATCGATGAGAAACTCGAAATTTTAACGAAATATCTAAGAGAGAAATATTTTTATTGCATCTGGTGCGGTGTCGCGTATCAAGACGAAGATGATTTAAGAAACGACTGTCCAGGATGTACAAGAAACGATCACTGATTCCATTAGCTATAGTTTGTATCGATAGAACGATTAACTTAATAAAAATAAAGACGACCGACACGAAAATTTCATTGGAGCACTTTTACTCAGTCCATGTACGACAGACATCTTACGAAACGTACCAAGGACTGGAAATCTAAATAACGCGATTCTTTAGATGAATCGCCCGCTGTGCACGGGGACATAAAATATCCATTAGAGTTACAATGCAAAATACTAAAAAACTACAAGCTCTCCGTAAGAAAAAAATCTGATCACGTAGAATGTAGAAGCGAGAGAAGCTTACAAGCGACTTAGCTACGCTATTATGTCCTGGCAGGAGTTCGGCACCCCCGAGTAACGACATATTGGAGGGTGAGCTGACCTATAAAAGCATCTGTTTGATTTTCTGTTCTCTCATTTCAGTCGAGATATTTGACCATACCTTTACCACGTCGAGTCGCAACGAGTAAAACTAAGATAATAAATATCGATCAGAAGATATGATGTTCATGCTCGAAATCTCTTTAATACTGTCCACGCTTATACTTACTAGTGAGACAATCGCCCAAGTAACGGACGACGAGAGCTGCGAAACGTTACAGTCGGAGGTACACATTACGAAAGGTATATTGACCGTCGTTCATACGTTATTAAGTATATGCATACTACGGAGAAATAAATTATTTATTCGTTTGTTCAGACGAGTACGACGAGATAGGGCGTTTGAGGAGGACATGCAGCGGGGATGTATCCGTCACGAAATGCGAAGGATTTTGTAGTTCACAGGTACAACCGAGCGTCGCGAGTACAACAGGTTTCTCAAAAGTGGGTATCGTGTGTATTGCCGTGATCTCTTTATAAAACCGATGTATCGACTCTCTCTCTCTCTCTGTCTTTTGCCAGGAATGCTACTGTTGTCGTGAAAGTTATTTAAAAGAGAGACAGATTATGTTGCACCACTGCTACGATGCAGATGGGATCAAATTAACGAGCGAAGAGGACGGGATGATGGAAATCAAGATACGCGAACCGGCCGACTGTAAATGCATCAAGTGCCGAGAGATATCCCGATAAATATAATGTAACACGAAACGAACAGTTTATCGAGACGATATTAAAATGTATACACATTGAAACTATAAAATAAAGATTATAAGATTTAAAGAACACTGGAACGCATCGAGAAACAATTATTTACCCTCTCCTTTCCTTTCGACCTGATAGAACACCCCTTTTAGAAATAAAAGCTGACTGAACAGTTGAGCATTGAAAATGTATGGCACATATAATGGTAATTTCCTTTATCGGCTACTTTTATATTAAATATTATTCGAAGACGCTCCAAACGGAATAGTGTTGGAGACGGTCAAAGAAAAATAATATTTCAATTATAAGATTAAACCCATTTAAGTGACTCTACTGCTGGTAGCATCGTATAGACATTTAATATTTCGGTTTTCTGATAAATTATAATTAATATGATGGCTGTGCAAAAACTTGCGAACGATTCATGGGTAGAGTGATTCTAAATAGGAATTGATCTTTACGAAATTAAAAGATTTGCAGAACATTTCGAGTACTGCTTTTACGTGAACAGAGAAAAGTGGTAATTAACAAACCATCATCGTCAAGTTTTACTAACTCGAAGGAATTGTAACTACATAAGAGACGTAATTGTTTATAGAATATATCGTACATGATACATGCAGTTTATAAAAGTGATAACGAACGAAACGTTGGCAAGCTGCACGAGCCAGATTTTTTCAGAAAGAACTTCTTTTTATCAGCGTTCCTACATACTTGATTTTTTCCCTAATGCTATTAAGATATATACATAAAGGGAAGGGAGGAAACATTACCACCAACAGGGTATAAAAGGGTATGAATTACAAGCTCCGAGCACAGTGAGGTATCGGTTCTGGCAGGGAGAGTATCGTAGAAACACTATGTTCTTACATCGCATTGGTAAATCAATCGGACCTTTGTATACCAGTTACAAAAGTAATTCTAATTAAATTCTTACTCACTGTACAGTAGGTGCCGGTGTGTTAATGTGTCTGCTAAGCGAAACGGCAGAAGCGATTATAGGAGTCGACGAATGCCAAGCGACTCCAGTCATCCACTTTCTGCAGTATCCAGGGTGTATTCCCAAGCCGATCCCTAGCTATGCGTGCAGAGGACGTTGTGGAAGTTATCTACAGGTAACAGGACGAAACAAACATTAAGTAATTTGAGTAACTCACTCTTGTAGTATCAGAGAATTTCTGTATCTCCTTTTATATTAAGAAACACATCATAAGCAGTTCCTCCATGAGCATGCTTTCATAAATTCTCCAAGCTCAATTTAAACTGATCATTCAATGTTAATCTTTCAAGACTCTTAAGCAGAAACTTTGGAACGTCTCTAGTTTTCATGCAATTACGTAGTTTTGAATGACAATGTGTAAAAATATCTACGTCTTTCACTGCTAACGAATGTGTAACAAAAAGAACTGAATTTGTTTTATTTACGTTTCTCGGAGTTTTCATAAACACAGACTGATCAGCTATACTCAGAGCGGTAGGAACGTACCATTGTACCTTCCCCGGCAAGATATTTATTAACGATACATCGAATCGAAAGTTAAAAGGACCGACAGGTGTAAACGGTGGTTTATTCGTACCTGTCTCTACAGGTGTCCGGATCAAAACTTTGGCAAATGGAGAGGAGCTGCATGTGCTGTCAGGAGAGCGGAGAACGTGAAGCGGCTGTATCGTTGTTTTGTCCGCGGGCCAAGCCGGGGGAAAAAAAATTCCGCAAGGTTAGACTACTGTTCTGATTCGATCATCGAATTTCCGTGATATCGAAACGAATACAACGTTGGCCGACTGCTAACGCACACGATTGAATCGGAGGCAAACATCGCGACATAAGTTTTTTACAGCCATATTGTTTTCGTCCGATCGTCTAGTGAGTATTGTTAAGACTCGAGGAATATACTTACGAGGAATGTCGATCGTAGCGCCGTCCGTCGAGGAATGGTAACACTCACTTTAAAAGATTCGAGGAAGTTCTTTCGCGTTACTTCCTCGATGACTGCGCATGCTAACGATAAATTTGAAATTTTCACCGATATTAAAAGTCTTTACTACATCCTCTTCGTGCTTCGACGATATTTTGTAGAATTTGCGTCTTGAAGTGACGTAGGAATCATTGATGGAACGTAATGTTTTCGAATCGTTCGAGCATCGGACTCGATTTTCCAAAAATAGTCTGATACACGATCAGTTCGTTGACTATCGTCAAATGTTTCTTTGTTCCACACACTTACCCCACTTACCAGCATAATTGTAACGTGCAACACAACCGAACGGTCGACACCAGTCTGCCATAGTCGACGCACGAACGCCAAATGGCGGCTGGTCACGTGATGTGGATGCATGATGGTCGTCGATGCGCGCGGGGTCTGCGCATGAATCCATGATGGCTGCCACGAGTTGCCTGGCAACCGCGTTCGGCGGCCTGAACAACGTGGCGGGACGACGTGGTTCAAATTCGAAATGATGACGCGTCTCTCAGCTCTACGATTGCTTGCAGAAAAAAACAGATTACGGCACGGCAATCGAGAATATTCGTATGTAATTCTGTTTATACAGGTGATTACCAAGGCGCCCCTCGAGTGCATGTGCAGACCGTGCAGCAGCGTCGACGAATATGCGATCATCCCCCAGGAAATAGCAGGATTCGCTGACGAGGGCCCGTTTACCACGTCTGCACACTTCAGAAGATCTTCCGACTTGCAGTGATCGGTCCTCATCTCCGAAAATCTACTTTGAAATAGAACAAATAACACGTCGGAACGTTGAAAGTGATGAGGTACATTTCGTCGTGCATTACAAAACATAAAAGTAGAAATACACATATATACATATATATATATAATGAAGAATTGTCTTTCATGTTGTATACCGTCTTGTTGTCTTCAAATAAAAATGAGAACGACGAATGATGAATCATAACTAAGCTTACTAAGATCTTGGTGGTTGTACAACAGAGGCCTTGTTAGTTTGTTATAAATAATTTCAATTATATTACATACATATAAAATAACTACATTGCAATTAATATACAATATAGGATATTACGCGTTTATGCTTCTGTTTTCCTTTTTAAAAATGAGTAAATACGTTACAGTTCGATTATAATTATTGCAGCTTATCGTTATATCGTAAATCATCGTTACATCCTGCCAAGTGTACATTATCTACAACGTCCCTTCCGTTTCTCAGTTTCAAGTATATAGATCGGTCAGGTCATTCAACGACGAGATATCAGCTTCAGGTTTGATCTGAGAATCGTACGTACATGTTATGTGACTTGGTTTCGTTTTCATCGTCGTACGCATTTCGTTCTCTGTAGTGGAGATGATAATATATCGGATTATTATCATCGGAACGGTGGTAGGTAGCGGTGTTACAAAAAAATATACAAATTATCATCGGTTCGGTTGATCTGTTTCTTCGGCGTCGAATCGATCGAGACAGGCTTGTGTATGCGAGAAAATAATCAACAACAGTTTGACATGGAGTTCTTTTTTATTATTTTTTTTCCTTTTATTTCGTATAGATATGATTTATCATAGAAGTGTTTTCGTGTGTATTCGTGTATCGTGTTTTGGAATCCTTTTTTTGTTTTAAGTGATATTTTTATTTATATTATGTATACGTATTATTTTAATGTAAACGTAAGCACACGCAGATATACGTACGTAGAAGTTATACGTGCGTGTTCGTACGTGAACTATCATTACACGTCGCATGCATGTGCACATTTCAAGACAGCATATAACGACGCCGCCGTCTTATTTCTACCTTTGCAATCTGTCCAATTCTTCACTTACAATATTTACTTATTAGATATTTACAGCAATAATCTTCTGTATCTTCTCCCTCTCTACCCGTGCAATTCACTCGCCGACGCGTTACCAACAACGTTTCTCGTTTTAATCGTTATATAAATTATTGTAACTTGGTTTTTAATTCACTTCGTCTCGAGTGTATTTCACACGTTTCGTCCCGTCGAATGACGCATTCCACGGTGAACGTAGAATAGAATCTTTCAAGGGGACAACGATGAACATCATAGGTCATTGTATCGTTAGCGTATTATTCATTATATTTTCTACACTTCTCTTTCCCCACTTCGTGTCCGTGTACGTGTGGCTGTGGGTA